ATACCGAATATAGGGAGGTACCGTTATATGGGGGCTATATGAAAACGTGGACCTACATGGCCCATTTACGAACTTAACCTGCCTACTGGAAAAATAAACATGTGTGCAAAATTTTAGCCACCTATCTCAATTCATTCGAAAGATAGCGTGATTACAACAGACAGACGGACAGACAGACAGAGAGACAGACGGACAGACAGACAGACAGACAGACAGACAGACGGACATCGCTAAATCGACTTAGAATTTTACGCTGATCAAGAATATATATATATACTTTGTTGGATCTGATATGAGGAGGAGTTACAAACGAAATGATAAAGTTAATATACCCTCCATAGTATGGTGGAGGGTATAAAAAGGCTGTATATTCCTAGATTATTACTCTACAGTGTAGTTGCAATGCGGAAGGAAACCAAACGAACTAGATGTGGAAGAAAAACGAAAACAAAACCAACCACTGCAATAATAAGCAGGCCAATGTGCCAAGCCACCAATAAAAACGAACATTTAAGCCAACCCGAGCATCATCTCATGAATGAAGCTGGCCGTAGTTGTACATTCCTATAGTCGTGGCCAGTGCTTGTCAGCAACTTTTTGTTATTATTATTCATTCATTTGTGCCTGCAAACACGCAGGATTCATCAACGTTCAGAGGCCAAAATCGGGGAAAATTTCAAGATAGGCAGACTGCAAGGATAAATGCTATTATTTACACTTAACACATACACACACAAACGCGCGCGAAGCCACATCTAGCTGTAGTGTTGTGTTTGTTGATCTGGTCACACTAGCATGTAACCACTTTATCTATAGAAGGGATGTGTCGCATAACCCACAAAATCAAAGCCACTTTTGTGTGTATCTGGGTGTGTGTGCGTGTGCGTTCGTTTTTACATGTGTATGAATGTGTGCGAATAATTCTCTCAAAAGGTTAAAGACCGTGACGCTTGATTCGTTTCAGAAGAACGTGTGTGATACGGTCGCATTAACCGATGCACCATCGATAATTTGATCAGTTTTTTAAACAAGCAGTCGATTTTTGTAGTTTTGACAACGGGGCTATTCTAATCGGATTTGAAGAAAACGTCAATTAATAGGTGCGTCTGGTTACCCTAAAGTTTGTAACAATTGTTACAAATTGTTACTGGAAGTCGTCTCTTAACCCAAAAGTTCTGCAAAAGAGAGCGGTCGGAGAGAGAAATTTTGACAGTTCTTTCAGTGAGAGTTTGCAAATTCTTGCTGGACAAATTTCTTCTTGCAATCACTTGCAACTCTTCTTCTTCTCATTCATCGACATTCAATCAGATGTTTTCTATTGTTTATTTATTTATTTTTGTGCTTTCAATTTGAAAATATTTTTTTTGGAATTAGCAAGACTAATAGTTTTTGGAGAACAACTTTACAAAATGTGAAAAACGTAAATGTTAATATGTAATAAGAAAATAAAAGACTATTTTCAACATTTTTATTAAAAAAACTTGTACAATTAGTATTGGTTCCTTTGTTTTAATTCTCCTTATGGGGGACAAATTGGTTTGTTTTGACAAATCAGCTGATAAGTTGCAAGCTTCTGCAGAAATACCGTCTGTTTACTTTTCGCATTTTCCTTGCAAAAGAGAATAAAACTACCTTACTCTCTCAGAAAGAAGTTACTGGACAATTCCTGCAGGAAAAGTAACCAGACACACCTAATGTTTGTTAATGTTTAGTTCGCTTTCGTACAAAACGCCCTCTTGTGTGATGATAAATGGAAGTAAAAATTTTGGACCGGGCCGCCATTGCCAAGCACTAGTTTTATTGTTTAATACTCAAATTTAAAGAACATTATAATTTTAAAATTCATTTGAATTATCTAAAAAATATAAGCAGCAATCGTATGTCATTTCCGTTTGAATAAACCACTGTACTTTTCAAAAAAAAAAAAAAAAAAAAAAAAAAAAAAAATTATATATATATATATATATATATATATATATATATATATATATAGAAGGGATGTGTCGCATAACCCACAAAATCAAAGCCACTTTTGTGTGTATCTGGGTGTGTGTGCGTGTGCGTTCGTTTTTACATGTGTATGAATGTGTGCGAATAATTCTCTCAAAAGGTTAAAGACCGTGACGCTTGATTCGTTTCAGAAGAACGTGTGTGATACGGTCGCATTAACCGATGCACCATCGATAATTTGATCAGTTTTTTAAACAAGCAGTCGATTTTTGTAGTTTTGACAACGGGGCTATTCTAATCGGATTTGAAGAAAACGTCAATTAATAGGTGCGTCTGGTTACCCTAAAGTTTGTAACAATTGTTACAAATTGTTACTGGAAGTCGTCTCTTAACCCAAAAGTTCTGCAAAAGAGAGCGGTCGGAGAGAGAAATTTTGACAGTTCTTTCAGTGAGAGTTTGCAAATTCTTGCTGGACAAATTTCTTCTTGCAATCACTTGCAACTCTTCTTCTTCTCATTCATCGACATTCAATCAGATGTTTTCTATTGTTTATTTATTTATTTTTGTGCTTTCAATTTGAAAATATTTTTTTTGGAATTAGCAAGACTAATAGTTTTTGGAGAACAACTTTACAAAATGTGAAAAACGTAAATGTTAATATGTAATAAGAAAATAAAAGACTATTTTCAACATTTTTATTAAAAAAACTTGTACAATTAGTATTGGTTCCTTTGTTTTAATTCTCCTTATGGGGGACAAATTGGTTTGTTTTGACAAATCAGCTGATAAGTTGCAAGCTTCTGCAGAAATACCGTCTGTTTACTTTTCGCATTTTCCTTGCAAAAGAGAATAAAACTACCTTACTCTCTCAGAAAGAAGTTACTGGACAATTCCTGCAGGAAAAGTAACCAGACACACCTAATGTTTGTTAATGTTTAGTTCGCTTTCGTACAAAACGCCCTCTTGTGTGATGATAAATGGAAGTAAAAATTTTGGACCGGGCCGCCATTGCCAAGCACTAGTTTTATTGTTTAATACTCAAATTTAAAGAACATTATAATTTTAAAATTCATTTGAATTATCTTAAAAATATAAGTAGCAATCGTATGCCATTTCCGTTTGAATAAACCCCTGTACTTTTCTCCAAAAATTTATATTTATATAAGGCGACTTAAGGGGGCGACTAAGAATGTGTTTCTATGCATATCATCAAAAAGAACTATGGGTCTATATCGCTTCCTTCTCCATGCTACAAAAAATCGCACAAAGATGTAATACCCTTACCACATGTGGTGTACGGTATAAAAATGTTTAATTCTTGAAACGATGCACAGAGGGGTGAAATCAAAAAACACGGAGATTAATTAAAAAATAAAATTCGTCTTTTGGAATAAATATTTTTAAACTATTATAGAACACTAAATCCTACATCAGTACTGAAAATTTTAAAGTCATACCTTGTTTAGTTTTCTAATTAGACAGTGGCAAAGTTAAGAAATATTTCTTTTTTTCGCAAGAAGAAGGAAATTATCCTTGGATTTTTGAAGTGCAATAATTAAGTTTTTTTTTTTTGCATCAAAAGTGATCATTTTAAAAATGAAACATAGAATACAGGTTGTTATTAGTGTTTCTGAGTAAAAAAGTTTTAAAAATACTAATGTCAAAATATTTTAAAAATCAATTCAAAATATTACCATATTTTCGCAATATCTGAAAAGTATATGGAGTTTTAAAAAAATAATATTGATATCTTAAAATTTTAATTTTGTATTTTAGTATGGAATGACATCTTTCATAATCAACAAAAAACTCGTGCCGTTTTTTGCAGTTTTTGATTAATTTATAAAATGGTGAAAATAGTCACCTGATTCTGTGGTGAATGTACTTTGATCTAGTTCTCCGTTTTATTTGTGTTTTTTTTTTTTATTTTTTGCTCTTTATTAAATAAGTTTCTCTTGCGTTTTTATCCTGTTATTAACTGGAATTCTAATTTATATAAAAAATATTCCAGTCTCTTTAAAAAGTCAGTTGTGAGGTTACTTGCCTCACCCTCAATTTTAACTGATGATCCAATTTAAGGAAAATGAGAGACATTTAGGGGAGGATGATTTTTCTATTTCAGATCGGAATGCTCAGTTGCCAGCCAATTTTGTATACATATTTTTTTATAATTGTTCCTTTCTCCTAAAAATATGTAGCCTTTTTGTCTTCAGATTTTAGAAGTTTTTACGTTTTTAAGGATAAATTATTTTTCTGGCTTTACTCAAATTTTGGTTTTTTTATAGGCAATTTTTGTAATTTTTCCTTCCATCCATTGGGAAACAAAATACCAAATAATAAGTTTGTAAAAAACTCTGTCTGAAACCATCAAAATACCTAATATTAGGATATGTTGTGCAGGGAGAAATTTCCAAAATACCTAACATTTGGAAGTGCCGTTATATATGGTCAATACTAATAGTAGATTTATCTTCACAAAATTTAGCAGGGAGTGATTTTGTCCGCTCCGAACTCAAAATGTCAAGATAATCATAATTGGGTTTGAAATTGTGGCCAAAACCTTCAAAATACCAAAAATCAGGATGTAACGCTATATGGGTGCCTCACCGAAACGTGGACCGTTATGTCCCATTTTTAATGTCAAATGAAGGTAATATGAATGTCTGAGCAAAATTTCAGAGCGATAGGATGCTTCCCTGAATTAATCTCCGTTTTAGGGCATCTCACCCCACTGTGCGATGAATTAAATACACTTTACTCGTAGGGAAATATTAAGTCAATGTAAATGATTGTTCAATATTTTATGGCGTATACGTTATGGCTCTTCCAAATTACAATGCTCATACGCAGTTATGTCGTACTCTAAAATGACAAGTTTTTATTTAATATTAAATTAAACATATGATGATATTTACAAAAAAAATATTAATAACACACTATTTATCCAATCTCTTTCTCTTCCTTGTTCTTTTTACAAAATGTTTGTTTTCCACAACTTCTTTGTTTTATTTTGTTGGTTTTTTTATTGTTTAAATTAATAACAATTATAGCTGGCCGCAATAATGAAATGGCGCATAGCGTTGATATATCGATGATCTCGCCACCAACATCGTCTTCCATATCCAACGATCAGGATCCATTTGGACAATTGCCACCGCTGTTACCGCCACTGCGTTCAACACAAGTCTTACAACCTTTAACGGTATTTCCAGGTGGGCATTGCCTTGCAACAAATCTACCAAACACTTCAACCTTGTTTGTTGTTGTTTTCGAAATTTGTCATGCAAATATTAATGAAATTACAAAAAAAAACATATGTTCTTGTAGATTTTGAGTTTGATTGAAATGTTTTTGTTGTGTTTTTTTTTTTTAGCGAAGTATGTTTCTGTCTTTGGCGTTGTATAAATGAGTGTGTGTGTGTGTGTATGATATCACCAGTTTTGTGTAGATACATTCTTGTGTGGTTATTTGCATGTTATGGTTTTAGTTATTGTTTTTTGTTCAAATTCTCCCCCAAAAAATGTCAAATATAAATTATTCGAATATTTAAGTTTTCTTTTACATTTTTGTTTGAAATAAAATGAAAATAGAGAAATAGCAATTAGTTGAACAAAAAAATGACCATTACCCCTGAACTTCTCATATCCTACCACTGACAATTCTCAGAAATTTGTAGTAGGTTCTATGTACATGTATTTTTATTTAGTCCCCAATCCATCATAGATAACATTTACAAAAAACGATGGACTTTAATGTCCAAATTTTGTATGGTCAATTTGAAAGTAGTTTACTTACGAATTCCATAAAAACTTATTTTTCGAAGGTCCTCACAAGTCCATTGATACTTATAGCCCCATAGCCCTATGTACGACTTTGCTCCTATATATATTTGTGTGTATACATAACCCCTATAGAATTTTTAACGTGGATAATCCCTTCTTTAATTTCATCTATGTTTTGAAAAAAGTCCCAAAATTGTACTGCTCACGCTTTAAATTAGATTTATCTTTTTTTAAATCTATCTGTTTTGTATGGATTTACAGTTTTATAAAATTTTGGTCATTGTAACAAAAATACCAGAAAAAGTAAAACAAACAATGCTCCTTTTCGAAATCAGTGCAGACCGACTAAAAAAATATTATTTATGAAAAAAAAAGTTCGTATTATTTGTCCATTTTAGGAAAGAATATTAGGAAAATGTGTACCGAAGAGGATATTATTAAAACCATTACACAAAAGGAAAAAAAAAAAGAAAAAAAAACCTCAGATCTCAGATCTCAAAACCAGATACCAACAGAGACCCCGACATCAAATTCACTTCAAAGGCAAAAACCATTTAGTAATATTTAGCACTTTTTGTGCAGCTATAGAATACATTTCCATATCACAATTCAAAATACCAAAAGAGAGCTTAATGTCGAATCTGAAAAGCCGAAGTTTTAACCATTTAATAGTTTTCGCACATTTCCGACCATTACCAACGGTATACCTCAGTTTCAGATACCAACAGAGACTTTAATATCTATTTTGAGGATTTCAGCTCTATTCCTAATACAAAATTTAGTACTATTCAAATACACATTTCCAAAACCACCAGACACCAACAGAGACCTTTATATTACATATCATGATTTCTGCTCGATTTCTTCCCCAAATACCAAATTTCGTACCTTTTAGTACTTTTAGTACAACTAAAGAACACATTTCCATAACCACCTTCATATCTTAACTCCAGACACCAACAGTGACTTTAATATCAAATTTCAGGATTTTTGCTCTATTCCTTCCGCCAATACCAAATTGAGTACTATTTAGTACTTTTCGTACAATTCTATATACCAACAGAGAGCTGAATATTAAATTTGACGATTCCAGATCTATCCCTTCAACCAATACCAAATTTAGTACCACTTAGTACTTTTTAAATAATTATAGCACGCATTTTGAAAGCAATCTCCTTACCTCAACCTCAGATAGCAACAGTGAATTTAATATTATATTTCAGCTCTTTTATTTTCCCATTGCCAAATTGAATACCACTTACATACATATTGCCAAAACCATCCAAGATACCAAGGGAGACCTGAATATAAAATTTCGTGATTCCAGCTCTATCCCTTCAACCAATACCAAATTTAGTACCACTTAGTACTTTTCGAATAAGTATAGTACACATTTCCATATCTTAACCACAGATGCCAACAGTGACTTCTGTATCAAATTTCAGCTCTATTTTTTGCACTTAATAGCAAATATAGTACTATTAAGTACTTTTCGTGCAAATGTAGAATGAATTTACAAAACCCCTGTCAAATCTCAAACGCTAAATATCAATTTTGATCTTAATATCAATTTTCCGAATTTTATTTCTTTGAGTACTTTTCGTACACTTATAGTACACATTTTTAGAAACCACCTCCAGGTTAGAAACCACCTCCAGGCTACACATGACCAGCTATCCTTATACCAAATTTCAGATTTCAAGCAATATATGTTCACCCAATAACGAATTGTACCACATATAGTACTATTTATTACCGTTCAACCTCAACCAAACTTTTCCAAATTTTTTACCATTTATTACAGTTTGTACACTTATTACACATTTCTAAAACCACCTTATATATCAAACTTACTTTCCAACCTTGATTCTTATAGCAAATTTCAAGTTTTAAGCTTAATCCGTTCACATGATACCAAATGGTTCACTTTTAGAAGCTTAGTATAATTTAAGATCTTTTCGTACTCTTATAGTTATAATTTATAAAAACTCTTTGGTATATTTAAACTGCGCTCCATATGTGCCATCCATTCCAAATTTCTTTCTAGCTCATTCCGTTTGTCCAATAAAAAGTATTGAATTTTTAGTATATTTTAGAACTCTTCGTACCCTTTTAGTACTTATACCAAAAACCTAGCCCATTCACACGCCTTCGCACCAAGACTGGCAAAATTTCAAGATTTTAACTTCAACAGTTGTTTATACCTCAGCCATATGGCTAGAGAGACTATATATCATTTGATACGGCCTCATCGAAACAGCGGCTTCCGAAAATAGGTCTCTTTGGACTATATCCGTTTCAGGACATTTGGAATCGATCTAGCAATGTCCGTCAGTCTGTATGTTAGCCTGGCTGGCTGGTGCGTACGATAACTCTCGAAGGTAGTATCCGATTTGGTCCAAACTTGGTACATCGCAATATTATTATCAAACTTAGATCGAGTTCGGAGATGGGTAATATCGGTCTACTCCTTCTAGTAGCTCCCTCACCGGAGGTCGATATTTTCAACAAAATAATATTATACTGTACAGAAAGAGAAATGAAAATTCAATTATGTTCCAACTATACAAATCCAAGTATTTGCATCAGTTCTAGGTCAGGTGCGAAAATAAACAATATCAGTAAACTCCATGAAGTACCTCCCCCACAAAGGGTAAACATTTGAAAATAAGTATAATTTTAATGAAATGTGACATAAGAGTCAGATTTTCTTCAAGTTACACACATCACAATATTTTCACTAGTCCAATATCTGCTGTGAAGATGGAATGTATCGGTCCACTTCTTCTGGTACCTCTCCCACAAAAGGGTCAAGATTTTGTGGAACCATGAAGCTAAATTAACATTCGATTCCATTCACAAGATCTGTTATAAAGATGGTAGAGATCGGACCATTCTTTCTGGTACCTCTCCCACAAAGGGTCAAAGTTTTGAATAACCAAAACGATTATAAAATTGGAAATAAGCATTCGGTTCTCTTTATATATCACACATCCCATTATTCTTACTAACACAAAATCTGCTGTGTAATATGGTGTATATCGGTACACTCCTCTTCCTGGTACTTCCCCCACAAACGGGTCAACATTTTGAAAAACAAAACGATCATAAAACGCGAAATAAGCACCCAACTCTCTTCAAATTTCACACATCCAAACATTGTTGCTAACGCAAAATCTGTTGAGAAGCTAATAGATATCTGCCAACCCCTTCTGGTACCTCAACCACAAAAGGTCACAATTTCCAATACTTATATCTGTCATAACTTGCGAAACAAGTCAGCAATTCCATACAAATTTCTATATCTAAATATTTCTCTTAGCAAGAAATCTAATATAAATATGAATTTATCGGATTTTATGGTTTCGTATAAAATTGGATATAAATATTCGATTTCCTTGAAATTCTGCACATACCAATATTTTTATATGTATAAGATTAAGGTGGAACATTTCGCTCCGCTATATCTGGTACCTCACTTATATTTCTACATTTAAAGTAAAGTATAGGAAATAGACGATATATTGCAAATCTGTCACGTTGCAATATTTATATGAAACATAGGTCAGATACGAATTGGATAATATGGACCAATGCTTTGAAACCTCCCTCATAAATGGTCAACAGTTAGAATAATCATAACTCAAGGCTGGGGGTATACATTTGTCGGCAAAACCAACTGATGCTATTTAAATTGTTTTTAATAGTTATTATTAATTTTTACAAATTATATACATTTATTAAATTATTTTTTTTTAACTTTTTTATGTGTGTTCAGATTGGAGTTCATCATAAAGCAAAACAAATATTTTTCCAACACCACATTTCAAAATCTAAATGTAAATGTTTAACACACCCCCCCCCCCCCCAAAAAAAAAAAAAAAAATGTATGTGTATTTAATCCGCACCTCCACCATCCATCAGATATTGCTTTTGTATGGCATTTTTGTGAGATTGTGTTACAACAAATCGACCCCACACAAATATACACCAAAACAAACAACAGCAACAACAAAAATATCATTACTGTTGCAATCAGAAGCACCTTTCAAATCCCTAACTGTTGCAAATCGTCATCACGAGAAGAAAACATCCGTTGTAGCGGAGAGTAGCTTCCAAATGGAGAAGCGATTTTTTTTGAATAGCTCTTTGAATTTTATGTACTGGTTGTATAATTTTTAAATGCAAGTATTTATGTAACTATTTTTGTGAATTGGAATTTTAACGCTTACCTCGTTTTTTTTTTTCTCAGAAAAAGTAAAGCAGACATTTTTTTCATCCGACAACCATCATCACCAAAGCATTCCAAATAATGAAACTAGAAATCTGATTTGCTCAGTTTGTGCGATTGATGCATTGAGAGACCTTTTTTATAGCCACCAGCAATGCCAAACCATTGAAGAACATTGCATTCCTTCATTATCACCTGCATTGGTATTCCAGTAATTTTTGTTATTTGTTAACAGTTTTTGTCTCTATCTCCATATCCTTTTATTTGCTATCTATCTATCTACCTCTCTCTCTCTCTGTATATTGATGTTGATGTTCACCAAAGAAATGCAGCAAAATAAAAACAAAAATTAAAAATTATAACTTTTTCAATTCCATCCAACAAAAATGCTTACAAAGTTTTAAATAAAACAAAATCTACATCTTCTTCCGTTCTCTTCTTGTTCTTCTGTTCTTTTTCCATTCCTTGTGAATTAAAAATCGTCGTCGTCATTGGAATAAAATGACCGACCATCCAACGACCAAACAACTCCAAATACCCTTTTATGTTACCAAAAAAAATATACATAAAATTATTAATTAAAAACTTAACCATGGTTTTATAAAAAAAAAAACACACTAACAACTAAACAATAAATTTATATACAAATAAAAAAAAACTACTGTAGAGTGAGTATAAAAGAAAAACCCGCAACGGAATAACAACAGTAAAATTAACGTGGAACACAAAACTAGCTAGCGGAACGTTCAAAAACAAACAACGAAAAAAAAAACGCTATATTGACAACACTTTTAGTCGTGTTTTGTGCGTTGCAATGAACAGAATATATATATATATATACATATTATAATTTCTGTTATATATTAGAATGCCTATTGTAAACGAATTCATATTTTAGTTTTTTTTTTTTTTTTTTTTTTTTGATTCTAAGTTTTATGAAGTTTTATTTATTTATTTTTATTTTTTTGATGATTTTCAATTGTTCTTGTGTGATTGATTTAATTGTGCTTTAGTTTTTTTTTATGTGTGATTCACTTCCATATAACAATTGTGAAAATCTCTATATATCGAATTTTCTATACAAATAGTGTCCAATTTGAGTGAAGATTCATATGACTATGTGTTTGGTGGTCGACGCAAGACTCCGCCTTCTACAACAGCACTTAAGTTGACCTCGCCTCCAGTAAGATTGAGACCAGAGGGTAAGTTAAACACACACACTCTCACACATTACTCCATGACACGTACATAAAAACATTACTCTTGCACATTGGACATGACAAAAATATATACGTGCATACTAGGTAAAGTAGTGTGTAATAGACTGTCCAGATATTCGATTAGTCCAGGTTTACACTAACTACAATTCCATTACCAAACCAGTTAGGAAAGGTTCAAAGTCGGGTGGGGAAGACTATATGATATCATACACCAATATGCGTATTTAGTAGAGCTACCGTAACAAAAACAGTTTATATTTGGGAACTACATCCAACTCTAAACCGATTTTCAACACATTTTTTTATACCCTTCAACACTATGTTTTGAGGGTATTATAAGTTTGATTGGGCCAAGAATTATGTATCACCTCGAAATATTGATTTCCAACATAGGAAAGTATATATGGATCTTCCTATCTCCCCGAGCTGAGTCGATCTAGCTATGTATGTCCGTCCGCCTGTAGTTCGCCTGTCCATGTTAATTTGTAATCACTCTTCAAGTCGCAATTATTGCCCGATCTTAACGAAATTTAGAATGGAGATGGGACTAGAGCCTGGATAGAAGCCTATTGCTTTTAGAGATGATAGCATAATATTTAGGGGTTGAAATGGACCAAAAACTGAAAAATTTCATGATTTTGTAGTTGCTCTACAGGTCGCAGATTATGAACCAATCGAAGCGGAAGTTAGCACGGGGCTAGAGCTATGGGCTGCAATGGGCTCCAATTTTGATGGTCATCGGATAATTAGTGGGCGAAAATGACCATAACATTTGTGTTAAATAAAAATCAAATTTTCCATTAAACCGCGAATATTTTTGCTTCCGGCGAAGTTAGAACGAAGAGATCAATTCTGACCGTTACGTAGATGCCGAAAGTAAATATATATATAGTAAATATATATATATATATATATATATATATATATATATATATATATATATTTGTCAAAATCTGTCCAGCCATTCTTGAGATATAAGCATTCTTGCTAACATCCCTTTCTTTTCGCTATATATATATATATATATATATATATATATATATATATATATAGCGAAAAGAAAGGGATGTTAGCAAGAATGCTTATATCTCAAGAATGGCTGGACAGATTTTGACATATGTCTATTCAGAATGTCCTCTTGGGATAAAAGTATGAAATCTAAACAAGTTAAAAAGCAGTAAGTTCGGCCAGGCCGAACTTTGAACACCCTCGATCATTTGGAATGAATTTGAAAAAATTTCCAAAAATAAAATTCTTAAAAATTCTGTTAAAATTTTAAAAATATCATATTATATTGTGGTCTATACGACGTGGACCTACATAGGCATTGTTTATCATAAGCCATTACCATATTCAAATTCGAAACTTGAAATATACACGGTGAATAATGTAGCTAAAATCATCAAAATATCTTATATAGGAAGGTACCGTTATATCGGAGCTGTGCGAACACCTGGACCAACGTAGACAATTTTCTGTCACGGGCTGTAGCATCCATTACGAACTTCAAATACGACATCTCAAAAAATTTCATTGGGTTTTGTACCCAAACTCGTCAAAATACAGAATATAGGGAGGTACTGATATATGGTCTATACGAAGACCTGGACCTGTATAGACAATATTCTGTCACAGACTGTAGTTCCCATTACGAACTCTAAATACGTAATTTGAAACAATTCCGGTGAATAATGACGCAAAAATCACCAAAATACCGAATATCGGGAGGTACCATTATATGGGGGCTATACGAAGACGTGGACCCGTAGCGACAATTTTCTGCCTTACGCTGTAGTATCCATTACGAACCTCAAGTGCCAAATTTGAAACATTTCCGGTGAATAATGTCGCTAAAATCATCAAAATACCGAATATCGGGAAGTACCACTATATGGGGACTATACGAAGACGTGAACCTGCACAGACAATTTTCGTCATAGGCTGTAGTATCCATTTCGAACTTCAAATACCAAATTTGAAACAATTTCGGTGAATAATGTCGCTAAAATCATGAAAATACCGAATATCGGGAGGTACCTTTATATGGGGATTATATGAAAACGTGGACCTGCATGGCCCATTTTCTGTTTTATGCTGTAGTATCTATTACGAACTTCAAATACCAAATTTGAAATATTTCTGGTAAATAATGTCGCAAAAATCATCAAAATATCGCATATCGGCAGGTACCGTGATATGGGGGCTGCACGAAGACGTAGACCGGCACAGACAATTTTCTGTCTTATGCTGTAGTATCCATTATGAACTTCAAATACCAAAAGTCCTGTAGACATAACATACATTTGAGTAAAATTTTATCAATCTACTTCAATTCGTTCGGAAGCTAGAGTGATTTCCACAGACGGGCAGACAGATAGACGGACGGGCATCGCTAAATCGACATAGAAGTTTATGCTGATCAAGAAAATATATCCTTTGTGGGGTCTAAAATGTATATCTCGAGATGCTACAATCGAAATGACAAACTTAATACACCCTCCATACTACGGTGGAGTTTATAAAAATATATTTCGAAGCCAAGTTGCACAAAATGGAAACGTACGTCCCAAAATTCACTCCATTTAGACTGATATTAGCCATTATTTGCACAATAAATCTGAAATCGGATTAAGGATGTATTTGAGAGCTACATCCAAATCTTAGCCGTTCTCGATAAAATTTGGCAAAGGTATATCTGAGCTCTATAAGACATCTGGTATCAAATATCGTTGTTGTCGAATGCATATTACGAATATAAGGCACTTAAACACCAAATCGGATGAAACATATATTTGGGAGCTAAGGATATATCTGAACCGATTTTCATCAAAATTTGAAATAATTGCTTCTGGGATGTATTTCCTCGGAAGTGCCAAAATTCACGTCATTTGGACTAATATTTGCCATTTGGAGCACAATAAACCTGAAATCGGATAAAGATACCAAATTTGGTCCGATCCCGATAAAATTTGACAGAGGTATTTTCGAGCCGTATCTGATATTCGGTATCAAATGTCATTGTTGTGGAGTGCATATTACGCATGTGAGGAACTTGAAACCCCAAATTGGATGAAACATATATATTGTAGCTATAGATATATCGGAACCGATTTTCAATAAAATTTGAATAACTTGCTTCTGGGACGAATTTTGTAGGATGTGCCAAAATTCACGCCATTTGGACTGATATTTGCCATTTGGAGCACAATAAACCTGAAATCGGATAAAGATATACAGGGTGAGATACAAAAAACTGCAACAAAGTTAAACGCCATAATTTTTACTTTTTTTATACCCTCCACCATACATAGTATGGAGGGTATATTAAGTTCGTCATTCCGTTTGTAACTCATCGAAATAATCATTTTAAACCCAACAAAGTATATATTCTTGATCTGCGTAAAATTCTAAGACGATTTAGCCCTGTCCGTCCGACTGTCCGTCTGTAGTAATCACGCTACAATCTAAACGAATTAAGATAGGAAGCTAAAATTTTGCACAGATCTCTCTTTTGTCTGCAGGCAGGTCAAGTACCCCGATATTCGGTAATTTGATGATGTTAGCCACATTTTTCAATGGAATTGTCTTAAAATCCACACAAGTAGTTCCTTGTGGGTACTTTATACCTCGGCAGAGAATTATCTATATAGGTACACAATATCGTATAGCCCCCATATAACGATACCCCCACGGTATTCGGTATTTTGATGATGTTAGCCACATTTTTACAATGGAATTGTCTGAAATTGCACAAAAGGAGCCCCTTGTGGGCATTTTACCCCCTCAAAAAGAATTGTCTATATAGGTCCCCGATATCGTATATCCCCCATATAACTGTACCCCCCTATATTCCGTATTTTGATGATGTTAGCCACACTTTTCAATGGAATTGTCTTAAAATCCACACAAGTTGTTCCTTGTGAGTACTTTACCCCCCTGAGAGAGAATTGTCTATACAGGTCCACGATATCGTATATCCCCCATATAACGGTACCCCCCGATATTCGGTATTTTGATGATTTTACCCACATTTTTCAACGGAATTGTCTGAAAATACACTCACGTACTGAGTCCTGTTGGAATGTCCAAAGTCTGCGGACAAAATGTTTGCGTGACCATGGTTTTAATACACCCTCCAGAATATTTTCGCTTTAATAATTTTAACAGCTTTCGGGCGAGTGGCTTAGAAATGACAGCAGTCTGATTGGTTGGTTGCAGTTTTTTCATCTCACCCTGTATATTGACAGTTCTGTTCAAAGATGTTTCTTACAAAATAAGAAGGCATGCTGCCAATTTGCGATGACTTTACCAAACCGTGGACCTATAAATCCCATTTTCAATACCAGAAATTCTGCGGACCTAACGCACACCTGATAAAATTAATTTCTTTGGGAAGCTAGAGTGATTTTAGACCTGCTGGTATTAAACTCACAATCTCCTTATTCGGTAAAGAACATTAAGTCTGTTTACAGTTTTACATCTACATTAACAACTCATCGTTTTCCTTCGTTTGCCGTTGCCGAGTCTCAAGCTCACAACCTTTAGCTTAGTAATAGGACGCGCATACGCTGAGTGGAAGTTGGTTATTACTTGGGAATGAGGTAATAAGAAGTTTTTCTTTGGATTTTTTGAGAAATATACCATTGCCATTAATCTGTTGGCAATGCAGAAAGTAATTTGTTTGCATTACTTTGTAATGGGTTATTCGGCTCTTATAGCTAGCAAAATGTGTGCTGCAAAAACATAATAGCTAGCAAAAACAGCTAAGTTCGGCCGGGCCGAACTTTAAATACCCTCCACCATTTGAAAGAAACTTGAACATTTCCAAAAAAATCCGAATACTACCACTTAGTTGAAAACCGCTACATGGGGACTATACGAAGACGTGGACCTGCATACGAACATTTTTGTCACGAACTTCAAATACGAAATTTGAAATAATTCCGATAAATAATGTCGCTAAAATAAGGGACATGCCAAAATCTACTCAAAAAGTGATTCGAAGTAGATTCTTCCAATATAGCTATGGGCCCCTATGGGTTTGATGTACATTTCACTACTGACAACTTTTAAGAACTGCACGTGACACGGTGACAACGGTTTTTGTGACAAAGCAAACAATTTAACATTTCAAACACGCACACTTATAAACATACAAAAACAACAACAACACAAAACCCACACACACAAAACTTTGTAATTATTATAAATTGTAACAAAAATATATTCTTTCATACAAACGTTCATACACATATATATATTCTTTCTTTATTCCCCCTCTCTCTTCCTCTCTCTCTCTCATTCTCTTTTTCTTCCTGCCGCATTAACTTTGTGTTTGATCTCAAACGGATTTATTGTCCTTCGTGCAGACGCCTATACAAATACACGCAACAGTGGTAGTGGTGGTTTCGCTAGTTCAAATACAAATAACGGTACTACAGCTGGTCGTCTTTATCGTCATTCCTTCAGTTATGTACCAAAACGTTCTCGTCACTCACAAAACGAACGTGAACGGAATGCAAATTACGAATCGAGATTAAGATGTCATGGCGAAGATGAAGCAACCCTGCGGCAACTGCTACTTGAGTATGTAAACCAATAACCGAACCATGAAAAACAAGAATAAGTAAAATACACACACACAACACACACATGCACCTTACAACCAAGTCTAAATAAAATATTCAAATATATAACCGAAAAAAAAAACAAAATTCATACATAAATAAAAATAACCGCATATACCAGAAAATAATTTAAATATAAAAATTCATCGTAGAAGTATCCCCCTTCCCCCACCATATAAAACACAACTAACACAACTGTATGGCTAATTGGTATGCATGTGTAGGTATGTATGCACGTGTATGGAACGTTTCATGTCTGGACATTATCAGAAGATCCTCGTCTTCGTCTTTATTCTAAGATCGAATTCAGCGCCGTAATTCTCCAGGAATTCGAAATGTCTCAAAAACAAGTTAAAAAGTATCAGTCGGTTTTGCCGACAGATATATACCCTCAGCCTATGTTCGATTATATAATCGAAATATATTTGACTAGTATTACAATTATTCAAACGTTTGACCCTCTATGGAGCCGGTTCCGAAGGAATGGGCCAATATTGTCCATTTCGTATCAGACTCAAAAATATGATATAAATATTCCAACGTTCCTGGTATGGATTATATCGACTCACCCCTTATTTTATATGAGATATGTAATAATTTTTAGAAAATGTTAAAATGTGCGTGATATACCATATAGAGTCTACCGAAATATTCCATTTTTATACTTCATCTGATACAAATAAAAAATATTGAGCGAAATATGGGGCAAAATTACAAGAAAAGACATTTATGTCAAATTTTATGCGAAATCATAAATTCCGATAAATTTAATATTCATATCAGGCTTCTTATTGAGAGAAATATTTGAGCATAGCAAGTAGCAAAGAATTGCTAAATTGTTTCGAAAGTTATCACAGATAAAATTTTTGAAAATTGTGACCCTTTGTGGGAGAGGTACCAGAAGGGGTTCGCAGATACATACAAACAAACAACAGATTTTGTGTTAGCAAAAAAAATTGTGTGTGTGTGAAATTTGAAAAGAGTTGGATGGTTATTTAGCTTTATTTGTGGGTTTTGTTTTTCAAAATCTTGAACCCTATGTATAGGGGAGGTACCAGAAAAAATGGTTCGATCTATACCACCTTCATAACCGATCTTGTGTTAATAGAAATATTGAGATGTGCCAAGTCTAAATGGAATCGGATCTTAATTGGCGTTTTATGAGCTTCATGGGTATTCAAAATTTCGACACTTTGTCGGGGAGGTACCAGAAGGTGTGGACCGATACATTCCATGTTAACACCAGATTTTGGGTTTATAAAAATATTGGAATGTGTGAAATTTGAAGACGTTCGGATCCCTACATCACATTTTATAAGAGGTCATTTTAGCACCTGACCTAGCACTGATATTAGGATTTGCAAAGTTAGAGCAAAACCGGGTAATCGTTTCTCTTCCTGTGCAAAAAATATATTTTATATATTTTGAAAATGTCGACCTTTTTTGGGGGAGGTACCAAAAGTAGTGGACCGATGTATTCCCTCTTAACAGCAGACCTTGGGTTAATAAAAATATTGAGATATGTGAAATTTGAAGACTATCGGACTCTTACATCACATTTTATAAAAGTTGTAATTATTCAAAATTTTGACCCTTTGTGGGGGAGGACCGATATAATGTAGTGGACCTATATTGTCCATTTTCGCACCTTACCTAGCACTAATGAAAATATTAGCATTTTCAAGGTTCGAGCAAAATTGGATTATCGTTTCTCTTTGTGTGCAAAAAATATTTTTTGAAATTTCGACCTTTTGTGGGGGAGGTACCAGAAGGAGTGGACCGATACATTCCATTCGTGTACCAGATTTTGTGCTAATAAAATTATTGCGATGTGTGAAATTTGAAGACTATCGGACTCTTACATCACATTTTATAAGAGTTGTAATTATTCAAAATGTTGACTCTTTGTGGGGGAGGTCCCTGATGGAGTGGACCGATATTATCCATTTTCCTAGAACTGATGAAAATATTAAGATTCGCAAAGATTGAGGAAAATCGGATTATCCTTTTTCTTTCTGTGCAATAAATTATTTTCTTTGAAAATTTGGGCATTTTGTGTGGGAGGTACCAGAAGGAGTTAACCGATATTGCCCATTTCCGAACTCGATCTAAGTTTGACAAAAATATTGCGATGTACCAAGTTTGGGTCAAATCAGTTACTCCCTTCGAGAGTTATCGTGCCCACCAGCCAGCCAGACAGACGGACGGACATCGGTATATCGACTCCAAATGTTCTGAAACGGATTTGGCCCAAAGAGACCTAGGGTCTAAAACCGTTATTTCGACTAGGCACGTTTTGACCGTATCAAATGATATATACCCTCTGTAACCAGGGTATAATAATTGGCCATTGTCAAATTCAGCTCATATCAATATACATAAAGAAGGCAGAACACATATTGGAAACAAACTAAGTATTGTAAATGGAGGTTCAATCTCCTACCCTATCAGTCTAAGCAATCAGGTGTATTTCCAAATTGTGTACCAACATTGATTTTTTAAGCATTCTCCTTACACTAGTATTAATGGAAAATGTTTTAGATTAATATAATTAAGCTTTAAATTTGTATATATCAAAGAGCCGAATTTTTAATACCCTCCACCATTTCGAAGGAACTTGAAAAACTTTAAAACAATTTCAAAGCAATAGAAAAATACCCCTCAAAGGAAAATCGTTATATGGGGGCTATACGAAGAAGCGGTCCTCCATATAAAATGCTTCGTCATTGGCTGTAGAACCCATTACTAGCTTTTTTAAAGCAATGCCGGTAAAAATGTCGCTAAAATCATCCAAATAGCAAATAGCGGGGGTACCGTTGTATTTGGCTATACGATATCGTGAACTTAAAGAGGCTAAATTACTATCCACCATATACAGTCACTCCTCGAAATAATAATTTTCGACATAACAAAGTATATATATTCTTGTTCAGCGTAAAATTCTAAGACGATTTAGCCCTGTCCGTCCTTCCGTCTTTTGTAATAGCGCAAGAGTCAAAACTAATAAATATAGGAAGCTAAAATTTTGCACGGATCAGTCTTTTGTCTGCAGGCAGGTCAAGTTCGAAGATAGATTACAGTGGCCCACGATATCGCATTGTTCGAAGATGGACCATATCGGTCCACGATATCACATAGCCCCCATATAACGATAGCCCCGATATACGGAATTTTGATGATTGTAGCAATTTTTAAATAAAATTATCTGAAAATCCACAAAAAGAGTTCCTTCTGCGTACTTTACCCCTTGGAAGAGTATTGTCTATATAGGTCCACGATATAACGATACCTCTCCGGTATTTTGACGATTCTAGCTACATTTTTCAATGGAATTATATAATTCCACAATGAAAACATACGTCCGGATAATCACTCTATTTGGGCTGATATTAGCCTATTTGCACAATAAACGTGAAATCGTATTAAGGATATGTATGGGGGTTATATCCAAATCTTAGCCGTTCTCGATAAGATTTGACAAACGTATTTTTGAGCTCTATGATTCTTGTGGAGTGCATATTACGGATGTGAGAGACTTAAAAACACAAATCTTTGAAACATATGTATGGGAGCTATCCCCATATCTGAGCCGATTTTCATCAAATTTGATATGCTTGCTTCTGGGCTGATTCCCGTCGGAACTACCAAAATTCAGTCGATTTGGGCAGATATTAGTCATTTGGTGCACAATAAACCTGAAATCTGATGATGATGTATATCGAAGGTATATACAAATCTTAACCGATTTCGATAAAATTTGGCAAGGGTGTTTTCGAGTTGTATCTACTATCTGATACCAAATTTCTTTCTTGCGGAGTGCATATTACGAATGGGAGGGACTTACACACCAAATCGGATGAAACGTATATATGGGAGCTACACCGAATTCGATTGTAAGTGCCGAAATTCAAGTTATTTCGACTGTTATTGGCCTGTTGGTCCACAATTAACCCGAAATTGGCTGAAGATATATATGGGACCTATATCTAAATTTGTACCACTTCTCACCAATTTTAATAGGGTTTGTCCTTGAACCAAACAAATATTGTTTAGAAAATTTAATTTCAATCAAAAAATAAATGCCACCTGCATTTTGTTCACAAAACGACATGGTCAGACGGATCAACAGACAGGCGGACAGACCGACTGACACGCATAAATCGACTCAGAAAGTGTTTCTGTGAAGATCCTCAAAAGTAACTATGGGTCTATCTCGCTTCCTTCTCCATGTTACAAACAAATGCACAAAGACATAATACCGTTACCACTATGTGGTGTAGGGTATAAAAACAACAATAATTTCAAGAAGTCTCCATAAAATACTAAGAAAATTTACAAACCGAAACCCACAGAAATAGAAAAAAATCATGTCTAAATCTGCTCATGTTAAAAACTTTGTAGAAAAAATATTTCTAATATTCCTTATACATGAATTAAAAATATTTAACAACGAAACGAGCCATATATGTACATACACACATTCATGCATACATACATAAAATCAATTACATCAAATGTTTATACCTTTATAAAATTTCCCAAGAATTTTTTAAGTTTTGTTTATTATTTATCGCCCATCATTTTGCAACAATTTTAAACACATGACAAATGTGTTTTTGTTTCTTTTTTCTTCTTTATTTTTGCAGCTAAAAATTTATTTCTCAAAAAACGAAATATTTCAAAAAATTGTTTCTCTAAACGACAGTAAGGTTTCATAAAATTTTAAATTGAAATGTTTTATATAGCTGAAAATATTAAAAGAATTCTTGTTGAAAATAGAAAAAAATTCCCATAAGATCTCCTATTGAGGTCGCCCCATGAATTACATATAACAGGAAATACAGTATCGAAACTAATTGTTCATTTTAAAATCATGGTAGAAGGCAAAACTTGATAGTGGTACAATAGCTCCATTCAAGAATGCGCAAAAATTTAAAACGTTAACTATTTCTGATTTTT